TGTTGTTTAGAAAAAAAAATAATAGTTCACAACCTAATTTAGAAACCCAAAATTTTTATATATCTTTAAATAAAAAAAAATTATATATTTATCTACACTTTTTTCTAATTATTGTTCCATATTAACTTAAACAATTAATAGATTTCGAAACGTGGCAGATGACTCAACTTGTTAAAACCTAAGCCTCCAAATTAAATTCAAATCTTGAGTCAAATAAAAAAGAATTATAACAAAATAAATTTCAAGAGGTTCACAGTTTTTTTATAGGTTTATTCAAATATATGCTCTTAAGATAAAGGTTAAAAGTATTTTTCTCATTAATTTGTATATGTTATGTGGATAATTCTATTAGATAATTAATAAAATTAATATCAACTCCTATCTTTACTATAATAATTACTCACTCTATCTAAGGATAATAAACTTTAATTTTTTTTTAGAATAAAATGGTCATAGCCTTGTATTAAGAGGTTAACACAATTACATTGCACTTAAAAAAAAAGCAACCTATAGATCTATAATTATCATTTGTCACAACAAACATAGCTATTGAGATACAAAATAACTCGAACAATAAATAAACTAGATAAGAATAGCTTAACAATGTACATGACAACTAATTATTCTTGTCTTTTGTGTGTTAGTTGCACTACTATACATGGTACAACTGAGACCACGATAGTTTTTACAGCCGTCAAAAGAAATTCCAACCATTAGATATCTAAACATCATTCTGTCCATTGCCTTGGTACAAACTAAAGCCCTCAACACCATCACCCAACCACAGCAATAAAGCTCTTGAACACCATAAAAAATATATTTTCTATTGTGAAGCCACCATATCCTACATAGGACCATCAATAAAACTAAAATTCCAACAAACTTCTGCACTACTACACGACCCTTAGAATACCTTCTCCTTCCAACAATTGAGTATCTAATCCTAACTCCACTCCTCCACTACATAGCATCTCAACCAAAATTCTAATTAAATTGTCCAAAAATTGCACCACCAACCAATCTTTCCCATGCCCACGACCAATCTTGTATGGTTCACCATCAACCCACCTCCACTTTATTGCCTACCCATCATCTAACTTCAATCAAGAAACCAACTACAAGAGCGAGGATAGGGTACAAACATACAAATGACTAATTAGTTTGAATAAATTGAGTTCAATTCTCTTTAAATAAAATTTTAAACTTGAGTCTTGTGAATAGAAAGATGAAGTTGGAGAACTTTTCCTTATAGGATCTAACTCGGTTTAATTTAAAATTAGTTGAATTTAATATAACTTTCAAATATAGAGAGTTCAGTAAAAAAGAAAAGAAGATAGGGTGCAAACAAAATATGCCCAAAGCGCCAACTTACTTCGTGGACTTTTACCTAAGCCCTACCAGTCAACCACCACGAATAAGGAGGCAATCACTTGACCCCCAAGTTGCTAATATTAAAAGTGAAATCTCTACCCGTATATTTAGAGCGAGAGAATGAAAGGGAGGAAAAAAGTTTTTAATTAATCAAATTATAATATTTTAAATACATTTTTTTTTTCAAACTATAAGAGAATTAAAAACACATTTTCATAATTTTGAGGATTAAACACACATTTTTAAATCATAGAGTTTAAGTATTTTTTTTATTAGATTTGTTTAATTTATATGTTAAGAACAAAGATTAAATATATATCAATTACATTTTTTTAATTAATTTATATAAAAAACAAAAGGCCATTTTAAATTTATTAATTACTCAATTAAAACTATTCAAATGATATTGGTATTAAAAATCATACTTTACTTTTATATTTTTTTATAAAAATTTATTATAAAATAACATAATTAATGCATCTTAATTTGTGTTTTAAAACCATTAAATGCACCCACCAAATCACAACAGAGGTAAGTAGTAGAATTTACCCCTTTTTTTTCCATTAAAATTCACCATGTAGTTATGATTTGGTTGGTAAATGTGATGGGCTGAACAACTCCTCATCATCCATGCTCTTATTAGTTGAGCCTTAGCCTTAGGCACGCAAAATTAAGATTGTCTTTACTTATTCATTAACTTGTTAGGCAGCGGTGAACTTACAAATTCGTGGGAGGCACCAAACTTTAATAAAAAAAATATAATAAGATTAGAGTTCCCTGGTTGAACCATAAAATAGAAATCATTAGAAGGGAGGAAGTATTAATTTCTAATATTAGGGGATTTATGACTATCTAATAATTAAAATGATACAGTTTAAAATAATTAAACAATTTGAATTACACATTACTTTTGAATAAGATTATAAGCATATGGTATATATATAGTTTACCATCATTGAACATAAAATCTAAATTTCACATGCCATGTAGGCAAGATAAGTTAAGGGATGAAAGCAAGGACGGAGCAAGGGGGTGCAAGGGGGGCGCTCGCCCCCCTAGACTTTTGAAAAATACTAAATAGGGCCTATACTTTAAAAAGAAATCAAATAAACCCTTTTTGAAAAAATTAAAATGGTGTGTTTTAATTTTTATTCTTTTATAGATCTTATGATAAATTACTAATTACTTGACAAGTAAAATAAAGTTAATAAAACATTTTTTATTTGATGTGTTTGTCATTACAGTATATGTATAATTAATGATTATTTGTATCAAATAACAAAATAAAATTAATTTGAAATTAGTATTATCAATTCTTTAGAACATATAGCTTTACTATTTGGGTCATATTGAGTAATATTTTGTGATAGAAATTGTGTTTTAGATTAAAATTTAAATACACAAATTTTAACAAGTTTTTTTTTATATATTTAAGGTCTTTAAAATTTTAGTTCTTGTATATTTAAATCTTAATCTTATTTATAAATTACAAGTCAAAAAATTCATTTTTAGCATATATATTTCAAATAGCACTTCGTCCCCCCTAAGTTCATTTTTTGGCTCCGTTCCTAGATGAAAAGAATATTATTTTTTAGGATAACGATGGGTTTACCCTTATTATCCACACACTCTGTTTCACCATTCAATTTCTATTACTTTCCATTAATTACACCTTAACTCCATTACCATCTTTCCTTTCTCCTCCTTGCCGTTCAAAATCCTCACTAACCAAACCAAAACCTACAATTTCATCTTGGTTCTTTAATTTTCAACCTTCTTTTCTCTCCTCCTTTCTTTTTCTTCTTCTTTCCCTCTCCTCCCCTCTTTTTCCTTCTCCCAAATCTAGGTTCTCCAAGAGAACCCTGTGGGTTCTTGGGATCTGGGTTCTCTTGGAGGAGGAGGATGGAGGAGAGAGAGAGAGAGAGAAAAAAAAAGAGGAAGAAAGAAAGAGGAAGAAGATAATGGATGAAGAGGATGAGGATGGAGGTGAGGACGGTTCTTTGATTTTCAACCTTGTTTACCTCCTCCTCCTTTCTTTTTCTTCTTCCCCATGGGTTCTTTTTCAAGACTTGGGGGAGGATGGTGGAGGAGAGAGAAAAAAAAAAAAAAGAGGAAGAAGATAATGGATGATAGAGGATAAGGATGGAGGTGAGGAGGAAGATGGGTTTGGCTGGTGAGGACAGTAAATAGCAAGGAGGAGAAAGGGAAGATGGTAACAGAGTTAAGGTGTAATTAACGAAAAGTAAAGAAAATTGAAGGGTGTAACGGAGTGTGGATAATGAGGGTAAACCTATCATTATCCTATGTTTTATTACACAACTCAACATTAACATAAATAAATAAATAAACAAATAGCAACACTAATAACTTGTTTAAATAATTTTAATAGTCCAACAAACACATTTGAACATTGTATTAATAAAAAAAATTCGAGGTTTGTCAACCGCCAAATGGAACTACGCCTAAGACATCCACACATCGTACTTAAAACTTTTGTTTTTAAAATCGGACTGGGTCGGTCGGTTGAATTGGTCGAATTGTCCGGTTGAATCGGTCAAACCATTATCTAAGAGTGAAAATGGCTCAGTTTGCATAGTAGACCAGTTTGTATGTCAAAACCGTTCAAACTCGATGGAACCGAAAAAACCACCGGTTCAATTTAGCATGCAATCTTCTTACCAATTTCACCCTCACCATTCCTTGTTATACCGGTTTTAACCCTTAATTTCAACAAAATTGCAAAATCATCAAAGACTAAATTAGAAACTCTTTGAAATCTGAAATTGTTTGTGAACTGAAAACCCTCGACTCCCAAGTCCCAACCCAAGTTCTCTACCTCTCTACCCTCTCCCACACCGCCGGCGCTCCCCTCCCTCTCTATTGTGTCTGATCTCCGGCGTTGCTCTCTACTTTCTACAAATCTGCTCTCTACCTTTTACTGATGTACTCTCGCCGAAGCTACTCTCTGCTTTATGCTGATATGCTCTCATCGATTCATCAAACCGAAGCTGATCTTTACCTTCTGCTGATCTGCTCTCACCGAAGCTGCTCTACTTTATGCTGATCTGCTTTCACGGAAGCTACTCTCTGCTATGTTGTCTACTGATCTGCTCTCACCGGAAGTCCGAAATTGCTTTCTGCTGATCTACTTTCTTTCACTTCATCGACCTTGATTTCTGCTGGTCTGCTCTCATCGACACTAGTCTCTACTCTCACCGATGCCAGTCACCATCCGCAGAAAGCAGACCTTGGCCTGTTGCGTGCATCCCTTCCATGTGCCTCTTGTTCTGCAATTGGCCTTCACTGCTTCTTCACACTTCACAACTTCTCCCACCTAGGTGCAGGTGTATTTTTGTTTTATCAAATTCTTCATTTAACAATTTTGATGAGAAAAAATTGGACTAAGTTTATAACTTTTTAGAATTAGAAACTGTTAATTCTTTTCCAATTTTAGAATTAGAAATAGAGTTGCTAGACACTTGTAGGACACTTTGAATTTTTTGTATTAATTAGCCATATATTCTGTGTCTAGGTCTGGTTCTTGGACACTTGCAGCTGCAGGTTGCATCTTTTGTATTAATTAAATTTTTTGTATTAATTAGCCATATATTCTATGTCTGGGTCTGGTTCTTGGACACTTGCAGGTTGCATATTTTGTGTTAATTAAACTTTTAACTTGTTTTAATCTTTTTTACAATAATTAATAATTAATAACAATCAATAGATCAATTGTTTCTCTCACAGCAAGAGATAGAAGAAATGCTTGAGATAACAGTTAATGGAAAGAATATAGACCCACCCACCTTACATCCTCTACTTCTTGATACAAAAACTACAGAGAACATGATACTACAAAACTCCAGCTTTTATGTCACAAGGCCTAATGCTTGCAACACAAATATTGCATTTATATATTGCACACCTCTTAGAGCTAGTCACACAATAATTAATCCAATGAATATATTGAGTTCAAGATGATTATCCAATTCTTGATTATGAAGAGTTCGAGAATATGATTTATAGTGACCAAGTATTACCAATATGTGGTAGAAAAGGTTAGTCACTTATTAAAGTTTTAAAGTAATTAACATGGTGTTTTGATTTTCATTAAAATTATGATTTAATTTTTTTTTTATTTGTTTCATGTTTTTCAATTAACCTTTAAGGTGGCACACATGACATTGAAGAAGTTCAAGGTGGTGAAGGAGAATCATTACATGTTGAAGGTGCAAGTGAAGGAATTGATTTGGAGTCTATCGGTGAAAAAAACGATGAAAGTTATGATGTTGAAAATGATTTTTGTGAATGTGATGCATGGTTCAATGAAGATCCTCCTAATTTAAGGAGAAATGAATGAACAAGTCCTTTATTAATTCATTTTATTTGTATTTGAAATTTCATGAATTGTTATCTATTTGGGTTTAAGCCTTTTTAAGACTTATTGTCTATCTTTTTCTATTTGTTTTTGTAGTTGAAACTTGTATTACTTGCTTATTTACTTGGTTTTTTTCATATATATTTTGTTTTGAGAATTAGAATTGAGATGATTTGATGAGTTTTCAAGGTAAAATGTAATATATTTATGTTAAAAAGTTGTTAAAAATGATCAAGGTAGCAAGAAATAATGTTGAAATTGAAGTGTTGACATTTAAAATTCAGGAGGCTGGACGCTGCCTCTCAAATCCCCCTTTTATGTTTGGGTTGGCCGGTTGTTTGGTTGAACCGGTTAAATTAGAAACCAAAACTAAAAATGGTTCATTAACTGGTTCGGTTTTAAAAACCTTGCTTAAAAGTTAAATTTCTTGCGTGCTTTGCTGTTTTTGTTATTCTACCTATGATTTTCTTTGCATGTGTTGCCTATTTCTTATGAGTTGGAATCTAGCATTGTGCATGGTTTATTAGTTCGATTTAATCTATAGGGATATTTCCAATTAAATGAAGGAAAGGGGACCAAACCTTTCATTTAATTAGAGAAAATTAGTATCTCATCATTTCCTTTTCACTCGTATCTCTCAATCCAATTAGAAATCAAACTTGCAATATCAATGGTCCAAAATAGATGTAATCTTTAGTAGTACATACTATCAAGTATTGAAATAGTTGAGATTACATCATTTTTTTAAGAGTTTTGTATTTTGCGGTTTGTACAATACTAAATTGTAAAACCAAAACTGTTAGATGGAAAACAACCAAAATACTAAGATTCAAACCACAATACCTAGATTTTTTTGGTTTTTTTATTTTTGTTTAAAAAAAAGGGGGGGCTAATGCGAACACCATGGACTAGATATAGAGAGAAAGATAGTAAAGCCCAATTCCAAACAACAGCAACAAAAGGCTTTCATAGAGAGGGGTAGAGCCTGATGGGGTTGTGGGCGCAGTTGCCAAGGCCGAAGTAGATCCCTCCAATGTCGTAGCCATGGGGTTCTGGGGGCTATCACGAGCCAACACCTTCACGGGCAGCTTTAGCCCGTTCTTGCAACTCTCCGGCTTGCCGCTGGTGAAGTAGCGCATCCCTTCTTTATCCAGCGAGATTGAGCTGATGCCGTCGGTGTACATCCTGATGGGGTTGCTCACATCGCAGGACACGTATTCCTCCATGCTCCCTACCTCAGCGACGCTCTCCTCAGCTGCAGAGTAGCTGAACCCTGACCACCCATAACACAAGACACCAACAATAACAAAAAGGAAAAAATGCACAAAGACCCTTTAGTTTAGTATCGTTGCTATTTTTTTTTTTTTTATGTAGAAATTTGAGAGGTAATTGAAAGTTAAAGTTAAAATTAAAAATTAAAATTAAAAATAAAAATATTATGCAGTTTAGATTCGTATAATATAAATTATTAAATATGAAACAAACACTTCAATATTAATGTTTGTTTTTTTTTAATAATTTTTATTTTATAATTTAATACAATTTAAATTATAAAATATAAAATTCTAAATTCAAGGACAAACCCTTAATAAACTCTTTCACATCAAAAAGTTTTCAATATTAATGTTTGTTTTTTTTTAATAATTTTTATTTTATAATTTAATACAATTTAAATTATAAAATATAAAATTCTAAATTAATAAAGTAATAATAAAAAATTTTAAACTTTTTTATTTAGCCTTAATTTTGCTAAATCTTTTGTAAGCAAAACTAAAAGTAAAAACAACTATTACAGATACAAAATAATAGCTGAGTTTGAATTAAAGGAGACAGAGTAAGCGAAAAAGGGGACGAAATTGAATGAAAAGGGGGCATATCCCTTCAAATACTTTATTTCTTATCCGTTCAATTCATCAAATGAATTTAGAAGGACTTCATTTATTTTTCCAAAATATAATTTAAATTTTTATTTAACTTTTATTCTAATAAATAAAATTATAATTAATTCTATAATAAATTTTCTCTTCTTTAATCTATGCAAACGAAATTAATAGTAGTACTTTGCTAACTTCTCTTCCCTTCCCCTCTCCTTTCTTCTCTTTTTGGGTTTAGTAACTTTGATTAAGACATTTCCTAAAAGAATCTACTTAGAGAATCAACAAAAGTCAAAACGAAGGGCTTACAGATTTTATCTCCGACCCTGAAGTTCCTACCGGAGCACCAGGAGGCCATATCAGAGGAAGGGGCCCACCCACGGTCGCCGCCGACCACATGATGCATCTGGGCTCCGGCCAAGTTCCCCCCCAAAGTCACCACGGCCATGGTAAAAAGAACCGCCAGCATCTTCTTCACCGTACTCATTTTCGCCAACAGGAAATCGCAGGACGGCTTCTCTTAATTAAGAAGAAAGTAAAAGAGGTGAAGTAGGGGGCTAAGGAAAACCACTTGTAAAATAAGCACTTTTCAGTTCCAACGCTAACAGTGGTTGGCCCGTTAAGCTTTCAAGCTTTCTGACTTTCGACATTCGACATTCGACTTACGAGCGTCTCATATAGACCGGAGCCGGCCCATCAATATTATTTTAAATTTGTGCCACAACTAAAAGTAACCTTTTGGTGGTTGCTGCTACTTGCAAACATCTAAATTCTATATCTACCAACCACAGACCAATGATATTAGCTTAAGTGATTTATTTAAATAAAATCTTGATTTTAAATTTTATAAATAAAGAAACAAATCTTGGGATAACTTTTCTTAATAAACTTCGATGCAACTTGAGTTTAAATTAATTGGGACGTAATGTAATTTTTGAATATGAAAGGATTGGTATTAAAAAATAGTGATGCTATAAAGATAATATTTTTATCTTATTTTTTTATACAATTTTCATATATTATTAAATGAGTGGATGCATTTAATATCACAGGTGTCACATGAATGAAAAGAACCAATCATTTTAATGACACGTCAAGTTATATAAAAAGATGAAATAAAAAAATTATACAAAAATCATTTTCCTTAAAAAAAAATTTACAAACATAAGAGTTGCAATAGTTAATCAGATATGGTTTTCTAAGTTAAATTTAAATTTTAAATTTTAAAATTAGTAACTACAAATTTTAATTTTTTTAAATATATTAGACTGGTATAAGAGTTGCATCTTTAAGATCACACAAAAAGAAATTTGTCTCGAAATATTTAAAAACACTATAACCTAAATACAAAAAAAATCTAAACCCTACAAGTGGTGGTTGCCTACTACAAGTAAACATCTAAAATCTAACGGGGGATGGTTGCTACATGTAAACATCTAAAATCTACCAGTCTTGCGAAAATGTAAAAATACTACTTATACTTATAGCTACCTGTCTTTTTCGAATTAAGAAATTGATAACTTGTGCATCTGTTTTGCGATTTGAAATGGATGTTTCGCGAATTTAAGCACGTCAGGGAATCGAATTTGTCTGCTGATTTTGCATCATTCTTGACCTGGAATTTTTTGTTTCTGAAGACTACCCTCAAGGCTTTGGCAAAGCATGCATTTAGTCCATTACTTTATTAAATTTAAAATTTTTAGTCTCTCATTTTATATATATTATAGAACTTTTAGCCATTGAATGTAAAAATTTAAAGATTTCATCCTTCAAACCAACAAAATCAGTTAATTCTCTATCAAAGTGAGAATAAAAATTTTATAAGACTAATCCTTAAAGATTAAAAAGATGACATTTTAATCTCAAAAGTTTAAAAATTTTAAAAATAAAAAAGTGAATTGAAAAGAATTAATTGATAACTTTGCCACACATATACTCAATTTGAAGAAAGAATTCTGACTAAAATTTTTAAAAAAATTATTAGTTAAGTTAAGATAAAAAGTCCAAAAAACTAAAAGAATAAATCTAAATAATGGAAGTATATGATTACAAAATCCACA